TAGACAACCTCCCACACCCACACCCACACCCACACCCTCTGTTTTTACAAATCTAGGGGTCGACAAGATTCTACTAGTATTTACTCTAATACAATCGGTCTATGGAAACTTTGTATTTCTTCAATTTGTGCTGATATCTCCGATTCATGCAGCTCAGATAGCAGTTTATGCTCGAAATTACGAGCTGCAAGGGCATTCATGACAATGGCTTGTATATTTCCTGCTTTTGCTGTCATACTTCTGATATTCATGGCCATTAAAGAGCACTATAGACCACCATTGGTCTATGCTTCCATCGCTATCGCTTGGGTAAGCACTGTTTGCGGTCTCATCGGAATGGCAGTTGGTATTAATTATGCTACAAATGGAACTGTTTATGTACTTGGTGCAGCTGGCGCTGTTGCCATTGTTGGATTTATTATAAATTTTATAGGCGCTATAGTGACCAGCGTCTTAATCAAATCTGATTTGACAAAATAAGCATTGTTTTATTGGTCACTTACAGACATTTGTATTCTTTTCTCCTAAATTGTATGTTTAGAAACTAACTAATACTATAAACGAACCATTCTCTTCTCCATTTACTATTCGATTCTTCCTTTAAGCTGATTTTTGCTGCCATCACTAAAATGAATGTGTCGCGTTTCTCGATATGATGTTTAATGCAAAAGCAGATGAACCCATCCCTCGACGAAGAGCACATGTTGAATATGCTACACTCAACTCTTGGGGTGCGTGGGTGGGTGTGTATGTAGGTGTGGGAGTGGGTGTGCGGGTGTGGGTGTGGGTGTGGGTGTGGGTGTGGGTGTGCGTGTGCGTGTGATTGTTGGCCTTGTCTTTGCTTTATGCACACCCACACCCGCACCTGCATCTACAACCCCACCCAAGAGGAAGAGGAGAAATAACCCCCAACACCCATTCAGTGGCCACTCTGGTCTGTTACAAGATAAGCGTGATATAAGGTCATATTTCAATCACCACCGGGTTCAGAGCATGAATACGATCGTATTTCGTTCCGTTTTGACGTGTAGGCACGACAATAGACGGTCGTAATTCTGATGTCAAGTGATAAGATGAAATACGATAATATTTTGTATTGTACACGGTTGTTTACGACGTTGTAAACGACGGTTTATGTGCATCGTAATACCTGTCCTGGACGATTAAATTCTGATGCTTACTAACTTTATCTGTTTGTGTGATAGATCAAATATTGAATCTAGAGGAGGCAAAACGCCAAAGAGCAGATTAAGATATTGCTTATTTGGTAGTTTTTTTTTCTATCTATAGAACTGACTCACATGAGGAAGAAGAAACGGTTTTGCATAGAGACAATTTATTCAAGGATCGAATAACTGTTCACGAAGAATGTTTCGACGAATGGCTGTTTTCCCACTGGATATAATATACAGGAGTACTATTTTGGATTTTCACTAAGACAGAATTAACTCATATTCTGCGAATAATCGTTGCGGACTTTGACGCTGTGGTTATGGGACATATCTTAAATCAATAAGTAAATAACGGAAGTAGCCAAACATATATAAGAACAGCACATTTCTTTTTGCGAACACAATACATATATACACATCAATAAGCAATGCAGCTTGTTTTTATCATTGTAGTTTTCTACATTTCAAGCGCTGTGGTCGTTACCCATAGTAGCGATAATCAACGCCTCGTCAAGCGAGTTGAACAACTGGAAAAAGAAATGCAGCAGCTGTTAAATCCTTCTATCACGGCACAAGATACTGCAGTTCCAGGGACAATCCATAATCGAACAAATAGCGTCAAATTGGTCTGGCCCCACTGCTATTTCACCAATGACTACTATCATCCTTGGCAAACATGTCCATTCGGTGGACAATACAGTGATGGTATGGAAATTCGTGGTATCTATGCTGGTGTAGACTATCAGAGTGTATGGCGTACAGCCATTCACGCTTGGTTGTGTTGTCCTTGAACTAATTGTTCGCTGGCATTCTGAAATCTCTTCCATTGATGTACACATACCTTTTATTATATGTTTTCAAAGAAGTCTTTGGATATTTTATATGACACATAATATAGAAAAAAATTAATGTTGAAAAATAATTTTTATTTGAGTATGACTGAATCTGTTCTTTCTTGTTGATTACTTTGATGATTACGTTTAAACAAAAGTAGTTTCCATCTATTCAGCATTCAGTCTTTTTCCACACAAATGAAATATGTGAAAAAGAAAACATCTAAAAGATGAAAGTATCACCAAAGAGACGCAATGGAAAAGATGATTAGTAAATAGTTCTCATTCTAGCAATATAAACGGGAAATATAGATGAAAGATAAGAGAATATCTTTGGTAGCAAACAAGTTAGTATTGCATGTTCGCAGCCAACAAGCGAATCATGAATAAGACTCAACCCATCCTCATACTATTTTCATATATAGGTAGCAAAACCAAACTGTTTCCAGTGGAAGAAACTGAAACTGCTTATTTTAGTTAACGAACAACTAGATAGGGTGAGAGTGTGGTAGATTCTCTATTCTACACCCACACCCACACTCACCCATGCTCTGCACGCATTCACACTCACGCTCACGTCTTGTGACTTCCTTCGCGGCACCCTGATTGAGGGAGGCATTGTGTGACACTTTGCGTCCATGAGTTGGTTATCAAGAACATCTCTAATACCTCCTATCCTGGGAGGTAGTGGAGGTATAGAAGATAATGGAGGTTATGACGGTATAGCAACATATACCCCCATCGCCTCATTTAGCTTCACCAAAATTTGCACAACCTGGACTGAACTTCCGGACATTCAAAAGAATATCGTGGAAATTCAAATAAAGCAGTATACGTTGGTCGCTTCGATCTTCAGCTTCGTCTTCGACCAATTATCATTACCCTGTTCTCGTCCTTCTCCTTCCTTTTCTTTTTCTCTTCTTTGATATATATATATTTGTTTATGATACTACAATTAGTTGATTTTAGGATAAAATAAAGATAGAAGATTATGTTCTTCTTAGAAAAGAAGTTCAAGTGCATTCTATTCAACACTGATAGAAAAGAAGAACATAATAGTAATCGTTTTCTTTTCTTTTCCAGTTGAGATAGAGGTTCGAGTGTAGCTTAGACAGAGAGAGTTGGAAGCAGAGGTTGGGCTATGACCATCAAGATTAGATCCCTGTTAGCTTGGAGGTCGTCCGAGTAGACTCTGAAAGCTCAGTTGGGAGTTGTCTTCATGTCCGTGGCACACTCTGAAGCCTCCCAGACTCATTGGCACACAGTCTTCCGCATTGGAGGACCTGGGTAACTTGAGTCTGTGCCGTGCGTGCATGAGTTTTAAACTAGCCACGGCTTCTCCAGGATGATTTCTGGTCGCCCGTGCGCGAATAGAATTGATCCTTAGGCATATTTTCTTATTGAAGTGCATTGTATTCGAGCGAGAGAAAAGAGAACGAACAGAACAAAACAAATTAATCATCACTTTCGAGGCCATTCGAGCGAAAATCGTTGAAGACGATGATTCCCATGTTCGACGACATAAAGATTGCCTTGTGGATCGAATGATAAACCAGCGGCACCATTTAATTGATTCGAGTGTACTCCTTTACTGTTTCCACCAACAATGACACTTCCTTGTGTGGCTCCCTTTGTCCAACGCATAATTCGATCATTATTTTTATCAGCCACATAGACAGTGCCCATTTGGTCAACGACGACTCCATAAGGATTTGCTAGTTGTGTAAGATGATTTCCTTCTCCTTGACCACCAGCTACAACAATGCCTTGTTTTGCACCTTCTTCCCATTTCATCACACGATGATTTCCCGAGTCAGACACGTACACCGAATGATCTCGATCGACAAATACGAACCAAGGGAAAGAGAGTTGATTGAGACCATTTCCTCGTCCATGACCACCTGCAACTACTGTTCCTTTAGTATCACCAATTCCATATCGTATCACTTCATGTTTCCCATGTTCAACGACATAGAGAAATCCGTTATCGTCCATTGTCAAACCGATGCATTCGATGTTCCAATTCATTACTTCTGTCTTAGTACCATTTTGATGAGGCCATCGAACTAGTTTACTATTCCCATGCTCGGAAATAATGAGGCTATTGCTCTTTTTGTCAAGAATCACATCAAATGGGCGATTTAGTTGATGGGCACCCTGTCCCTGTCCATTTCCACCGGCAATGACTTGTCCACTCGTTGCACCAGATTTCCATGTCATAATACGATGATTGTTTTGATCAGCGACATAAATCGTTTGATCATAATCGACATATAGGCCGAGTGGGCGATCCAGTTGATTGAGTCCACTGCCTTGTCCATTTCCTCCAGCGACAGTGACACCATTCTTTGACCATGTTGCATTCGGATGAATCTCAATGGAAGGTGCACGTAGTGGTGGTACTGAAATGAAACTAAAAATGTTAAGTAGAAATACACATTGATTACATAAAAATGATTGATTTTCTTGTTTCGAAAACTATTCAGACAATTGTTTATTCATTTGCTCGACAGCGAACAATCATTTGAACAATTTCTCTCAATTACAAAAAAATGAATAGTAAAATCTATTTTCTCTGTGATGGGAATAAAGATTAGTTTTTTCCTGATATTGGATGTCACAACTGACATGAGGATGAAGTTAAGTTTGGAACACATGCTGATAGTATGATTTTATTTATCAATGACTTTTAATTTTTTTCAACTATTATTCAGTAAATATTAAAATTTTCTCAATTTATTTTCTCTCCTCAAAATTATTCGGTTGATATTTGTTTAAATCTGTTTTCAAAATAAAATGATTATTTTCAATCCTAACCTACTATCTTCCATTGATTAACCTGAGGACAATAAGCCTATCGAATACAAAATCAAGAGTCTCCATATATTCCGATTATCACTTAACCCCTCAAAAAAGAATCAACTGCTACTACAAACTCTTCACTAGTACATATTGTATAAAATGGCACCCAAACTACTGTAAAGAACCTTGTAACGCCGAAAAAAAGCTATCTCTTCAAAACTTTCTGAATGGCAAAATTTCATACTAATGCAGGCGTCAGAATTAAAAAGGCTCCGTTGTTTTTTGAATATTTCGACACTAATTGGAGCTATTCATCTACAGTTTTCACCAATTGAAAGACAAGAAGTCGGGATATTTTTTTCTTCGATAATGCGTAAGACTAAATCCTTCTAAAACTAAGGATTTTCGAAAACCATGCAAAAAATGCATGAAAATGACCTGCCATTTAGATAAAATTTCGATTTTGACCTTTGATTTAGATAGAAAGGACTTCAGACCTATAGCTATAGAAGCAATACAAACGGTTCTCTTATTACATTCTAACATTGAGAAAATGTCGTCATGTGTTTACATGCGCAAATAATAGGGAATTTTGCTGATTTTTTTACCAGATTTTCGCACTTTTTACATAATAGCTTGACATTTCGATGAAAACGTCATGACAAGTAAGAAAGTGCACGGTATCTAGAATTATACATCTGAAATCATTATTTCTAAATCAAAGATCAAAACCGAAATTTTATCTAGATAGGCAGACCATTTTCCTGCATTTTTTTGCATTTTTTTCGAAAATCCTTAGTTTGAAAAGGATTTAGTCTTACAAATTATCGAAGAAAAAATATATCTCGACTTCTTCTCTTTCAATTGATGAAAACTGCCGATCAATAGCTCCAACTAGTGTCGAGATATTCAAAAAAAAAAGAAGTCTTTTTAAGTCTGACGACGACATTAGCATGCACAATCCAAGCAATCACTTAATGTCTCGATGTCTCGATCATCGTAAAAACATTCAACTAAGATACATAGAAATCTAGCCACACACCGTTTAGTACTAAGTGATTACCTAGTATTATTATATATACAAACTGCAATGCAAGAACAATCATCACTGATACATTCTCATACAGGAAAACAATAAATAGAATCACTGATAAGGATGTGGATACGAGTGTGGGTGGGTACGGTTTCATCTTATCTTAACACATACTCTTCCCGCAATGGCACGCACCCCTTGCAAAAAGCTTTTCTTTGACAGAAAACGCTCGAACGCAAGATTTTGAAAAACCGATTACAAATTTGAATTCCCCTATCCCGATTACCTTCACAATTCATACGGCGAGTGGTATGGCGTGGGGATCTCCAGAGAAAGTAGGTGCAGATTCATCTCATAGCCATACCCACATGCACACGAGGGCTCGAAACGGGCCACCCGGCTTGGCATGAAGAAAGTTTTCGGCTGAGTTATGCGGACCGTCAATTTCGTCGGAGAGGTTCGACTCGACAAAATTCTATTCTTTTTTCTTCTTTGAAATTTTATAGATGTCACTACATCGAGTAATGATTAAAAAGTTTTGCAATAGTCGCTTCTATCGAATCATTATTAGATAGTACAGTAAACCAACAGCCCTTTAATATGCGCAATCTGTTTATCTATTTTTTATGATCATTGTATTCGTTAATTTACATTTATGTTATCATTTCAAAGATTTGATGTCAATAACTCATCATCTAATCCATGTTCTGCTGCATAAAAATTTCTTTCACAGTGCGAAGTTCATATGTAAGATGGATTCTGGACATAATGTTTGTTAAAAGAATTTACTCTGGACACGAGCCGAGCCATAGTTTTTGAGTTGAAGCAGACTGGCACGTAAACTTTTCGGGTTGCTTTGGGTCGAGCTAGGCCATAAATAAGTGGTCCATATTGAATGCAGAGCAATACCCAAACGCAGCCATTCAACCGAACATACCATACCCTCTTCGCTCAATTATGAAGAACGAGTTAGCAGAGGTCACGTTCCTAAGCCACCCTGCTTCTGTCATCACTATGCTCAACGGCTGTTACTCGCCTTGTCCACGTAACTTCGTAACACCGTTACGTTTTTACTCATTTTGTTTTGGTCATAACTCTGAAAGGAAAAGTCGTAGAGAGGTGAGCGACGTCTTAAATTGAAGATAAATTTGTTTTGAAGATTTTGAGATTAGTCCGAGCTCATAAAAACGTTTCCTCGAAAATCTGTCAGTGCAATACCAACACCTACTTTTGAAAAATCCAGCGAAAAGGTAGGTATTAGTATTTTGGTTATAGATTTTCGAGAAGATCTTTTTATGAACTCGGACTAATCTCAAAATCTTCAAAACAAATTTGTCTTCAATTTAAGACGTCGCTCACCTCTCTACGACTTTTCCTTTCAGAGTTATGACCAAAACAAAATGAGCAAAAACGTAACGGTGTTACACTCTGCCGTTAGCGTTACGTGGACAACGCGTACTACCGTTTTTCTTTGCGAGTGAACATTAGTTATAGCTCGATTTATATATATTACCCTTTGAACCTAGTGAAAAGTAATCGAAGATAGTAATTTTTCTCCTAAAAGCCATGTGTACAGTCTTTCAGTATATGAAGTCGCTCATTTGACTGCCATACCCTCAAGAAAACCATAATCTCTGATCGATAGAAGAGTAGAAGCAAAATCAATCAATTGATAAAAGTTACGGGAAAAGCAGAATATCAGAAAAAAATTAGCGCGCTCATATTTTATATTTTTCAAACAGCTGAATCTATGGCTTACTTGGTGGACATTGTTCTTTCGTGACCATCGACAATGGAAAGCAAACAGGAAGATCGTGACAATCTGGGTGGTTCACACAAATATGAGCAGGTTGATAACATGCATTATTCTGTGTTGTGCAAGACACTAGCTGAGAACATGGGGGATTGATAAGAGCACAAACGCCGGAACTAAAAGAAGGCACGAAGTGCAAACAGCCACAAGCTGAGTTCGTCGAGCACGAATCATATTGAGATACGTTAAAGCATGCTTGCGATGCACCACACACTAATTGTAAAGAAAACTAGTTTTCTAAAATCTACAGAAATTATCATGATAATACCTGACATGCTAAAAAGAGATATTGTCACAAATAATAGGATCAGCCAAAGAGAAAAATGTGTTGATTACCTTACAGCTAGGAGCACCAAGCGTTGTATCGTCATCATTTTTCATAGGATAAAAATTTGTGAAAGCAGAAACTCGCTAACGATATTTAATTTGCTCCATCTGTTCTTTTTCTCACTTAGTTTGATTAGCGTACCTTGGTGTATTTAGAGCAGCTGCATTCAAGGATTCTGCATCGTTTGAATAATATTGTGAGGCGATTCAGAACAATATTATTTTTCTTCACTTGTATTGCATAGCAGCTAGTTGTTTGTGCCATTCGTAATAGGGGACTACCGCACAGAGGGTAACTCATGAGAAGCCTCATCTGAAGATCGAAGCGATTGCGCGTGTTTGTTAGTGCCGAGAGATGGCAGTCTTTGACCGCCAGTCTTTACTTATTGTTCTGTTGCGAAGCATGAAATTGATCTAGTGCTTCGTGAAATGTCTTTTTCTTTCTTACTTATATGACATACGCATCAGAAGTTGTCGTTTCCTTTTGTGATGATCTCGAGAACTAAGACTCACAAAATAGTAGTTCACACGCAAAGTCGAAGTCTCAAACTCGAACTGATACCATTTTTATATCAATGATACACACAAGGCGTCATCCGCTCGCAAATAGTGTTCGAGAACGGCACATTTTTTAAAACTTTGCATTTTTCAGACTTCAAGACAATTAAAAAGAGAACATGAGCTAAAGTCAGACGTGATGAGTGTGGATGTCGGTCTAAGTGTCGCTATAGAGACAAAGCTGATAATACCCACACCCATAACCATCTCAAAGAGGAGTTTTTTTTAGATATTTTAAGGCTTGCATTTAGGCTTTATCAATAAAACCTTGAATAATGAAACGGATTAAACTAACAGTATAGTCTCATAATCTCGCAAAATTCTTAAAAGAAAAGTTTCGAAAACAAAATCTTGAAAGAAAGAGTTTCAATACACTGAGTGAATATATTGAGCACTGAAAGAAGTTGCAACAGAGTTGGGTGGGCGTACGGGTAGTTGTTAAAAGAATATTCTAACACACCCACACTCACATATTATGAAGCCAGATTTGTAAATACAAAAGAAGAGCAAAAGCATTAGCAGCAACTAGAAACATCGTTAAGAACTGAGGAATAGCGCCAGATAATAGTATTTCTGTAAACTTGATCTATGAATTCTGATGAACTTTGACAATGAATTGTGATAAAACAAAGAAGAATCAACGGTGTGTATATGGCAATAATCATACCACTTTGTCGCTGGTTTCCTCATTTATTTTTCGTTTTCTTTGTACTAACCCTTCTTCTTTTGGTTTTTCCGGAATATGTTGACGCGTGAAAATTAATGAGATGCTTGCAAAAGTTGATTGTTAGTGATTTTTCGACTAGAATGAAAGTCCAATCATATGACTAAAATCTTGTTAGTATCTATGTAAGAAAATTCATTAGACTAGCAATATTGATGAAAAATATTAGAGAAGAATATATCATTTGCTACACATATGACTTTAAAAATGATTGTAAAAAGGACTAGTTTGATTTGAAAGAACTGAAGTCAAATTGAGGCGAATTTCATTGTGGCCATAGGTTTTTGTCATGATTAGATGTTGAAGAGCTTCATCGAACAGGCGATCGATGAAACACTCTTGAGTATACCACCAAATAGGTAAATTTGAATGATAATCTAGTTCAAATTCATCAATTATTTGCAACTCGTGCAAGTTTTCAGGATGTAGCTCTCGACTAAAATCAGCAAGTTCTTTCTTTCCCTTCTCATCGTGTTGCCTTTCGATAAGAATCTCTTAAAGTAGCTGCGTATGCATGAACGATGGGACAAGACGATCCAAATCTACCCCTTGTGACACCAATGGAGATAAAATC